ACTAGACGAATGGACCCGTTGACCCAGAGCCATAGGTATGCAATGTTGCTTCAACGGATGGAGAGCTGTGTTTAACGCTGCCCACGTCGATGACGCTGGGCTGGCGGATTCGTGACACTCGTTGGCATGTCGCCATGCAAGTGACAGAAGTCTAAGCAGCCGAGAATCGAAGCCACCGGGCGCAATCTAGAAAGACTTGAGACCGTCTGTCGTGCCCTAAGGACAAACTTTAAGCCATTGGTGCTGAAGGGTCTATTCTTTCGAAGGGTTTGTCCACGGCCTGTGTCGATGTCAAAGCTCGAAGCCCCAACGTCAATCTCTTGTAAGTGCCATCGGGACCGAAGGCTTAGTTTGACTCGCCGCTTCCCGAGTCTCCGAGTGAACAGGCTTTGACCTAGTACAGCACTAAACGCTCACCTGTTGATGAAGCCGTAATTATAAGTGGACTTCCGCCTCGTCGTTGATGAAGTCGAACATACTGGCTACTTTAGCTGTCGGATATACCACTGTTCATTGCGAAGCGATGAATTCAGATTTTGGATGGACCGCAGAGGATGATACCTGAAGTTTCGGTACCATTACGTCGTCGATGGTAGCTCTCTCGATATGCTTGTTTGGTCGTCCAATCCTCTTCGTCCGTTGGGGTCATCATTCATGCGACTTCATGCAAAGCCTCCCCGCTGTGTGCCTGTGCGAGTTTGACATTCGGCCAATACCGTAAATTCTCCGACTCATATCATTGGATTGCCAGGGCATCCCCTCCCGACTAAAGCGGATGCATCCTGGCAAGTTCTTTCCAATCGCTGCGAGCTTGAATACCGAGACGGTCCAGATCAGCCAGCGAATCGCAGCTGATGGCGAATGATGTGAGGCCTTCACGCAGGCTCTTTAGCTGATGCGTTCTTCGCCTAGCTGAAATTGGGAATGCCAGAGCGTCCACTTGTAGTCCACGTGTGATTATTGCTGGACAAAGTCAGTGTCAAACATGAGAAGTAGCTTGATGCAACGGTGCCGAAAGATCAGTCTAGAGACGCCAACTATCCTCAATCGTAAGGGTGGCTGGAAACGTACTTGATGGCATGAATCTTTTCTCTGCTGTTCTCGCGCTTACACGAAGCTAGAAACAATAATGGCATTAAGACGATGGCGTTCGTTGGCTCGCGGCTCGATCAGCAAGCAAGTTTCGTTCTTCCGCGGGTGGTGACATCGGCTGCGGTGAGAGGGACGTGCGACCCAAAGAATGGCGCAGCGCTTGATGCGTGCTGCGATGCAGCGAGAAAGAGGCTGTGATCAAGAGAGCGAGGTAGGCGCGAGTGCAATAGGATGGACCGGTCGAAGCATGATGTGGTAGCAGATGTCCGAAATGTTTTGCTCAAACGGCCGTTCGTCACCTGAGGGAGACGACGGCGTGACTTCTCACCATGGTAGCAGAATGAGACAGTACAACAAGGTGGCCCTGGAGCACGTCTGTGTTGTTGCTTTGTGGGATGGTGAAGCAGACATCCACTAGAAATTGATGGTGTTGAAAAGGCAAGATGAAGTCAAGCTTGCACTAGAGGTAAGGTAGGGTGGGTTCTCGTGTAAGCGAATGGTGCTATTCGTAGAGGGACGTTTTTCGTGATGATGATGATCGTCGCTTGGGCACGCACATGGAGTGTGGAGAGAGTCATGGATTGGTAGTCAGGTGGATTCGATTGCGAATCTGACTTTGAAAGGCGCATTGCGATAATAGATTTTTGGAAGAAACAAGCCGGTCGTGAGGCCATGAGTCGGTGTTTAGCGCGTTTCTTGATTCTCGTGTTGGTGGCGGTGGTACCGCGGATTGCCCATAGCTGAGAGGGGCAAGACAAGAGACGACAAAATGACAAGGATATTGTTCGCACAGAGACGATGTTGAAGACGGCTGACTGCCGCACCACTGTGTTCCCGTACGTGGAAATGGCACATTATGGGAAGGAACTGAGTCGACTCAGCCCCTCAGTCTCTGTGTCTCCGCGCTGGGACTTGCCAGAAGCGCGAGGCATCTACCTGGTTGAAAGAAGCAAGTGCGACTCGTTTTATCTGGGTTGGGAAAGGTCGAGGTCGTTGCAAGCAGGAACAAGAACGGTCCAGGCCTCCAAAGGCAGGGAAGTTGGGTGGTCGAGACTTGAGAGGCAATTCTGAGGTAGTAGCCTAGTGTCCATGTGCTCAATGCTACTATCTCATACCTGCCCCTCCCTATTCTCATGGACTGTAGACCGTAGCTGACAACTTGAGCACAGATGAAGTTGAAGAGACAGACAACCTGAAGGCGTTCCAAAATCGCGAAGACGTTACCCCTTGAACGGAGACTATCTTGAGATAGAGCCAAGTAGAGTCGGAAACATCACGCCAGGGTATTCTTTCGGTCATCTCCTGTTCCGGTAACTTGTTGGACATCTAGACAATCACAAACAGGTCCGAGTGCTTCAGGTTATTAGTAGAAGCGTTACATTCACAACCTGATTTCTTGTACGCAGTACTGTGTCTGTGGCAAGTGGTGGCTTTCAACCCACTGCTGTGGCGACGCTACCTTACTTTACCCTGAGGTGTGCTGCAAAGTCCCTGGCAAGCCGCAGGAGAGAGACTTGAAGGCCAGGTGGACAAGTCTGGGTGAAGCGTATATAGATGGTGCTGTTGGTGTAGCAGAGAACCCTTGACTTACCACCCGCCCGGTCTACTCCCACCACCGAAATCTTGAGAAAAAAGGTTATCAGACGGGTAATATGGACTAGCATGACGGGCATCGGTTATTCGGAGAGGAACATTGAAGAGGGGAAGGATGCCATGTGCGCCAGTGCGTCGTTACAAACGCCATCGATGAGGATTCCCGGTAAGGTACGTATCGCGCTTACCTTTGCAGTTTTCCATTGCTGGAGCATCCCGGACGAATAAGGTGCAGTTGGAGTGGGGATGGATGGATGGATGCTGAGGGTGGGGTGATGGAAACCTTTGCAGTAGAGGGCTCGAGGCAAGCACGGTACGTATCTCTGACTGGCACACTCAATAAGGTACCTTAAGGTAAGTAGGCTCCTCTGTGCTCCGGGATCTCGTCACTGTCCGTCCAGGTTGACGTTCTCGCAGAATCCCAGGCACCGGAATCTCCATATTTTCCTGAGTAGGGCCCCGGTCAGAGAGAGTGGATCCTTCCCACATCATTTTCTGTGCTTGCAGTAGGTAGGTACGGACAGGTAAGTACCTCTCTCCTTCGCGCAGACGTTCTTGCTCTTTTTCGCCGTTGTTCTGAACTTTTGGCAACTACGAGCCAATCCAATGGACCGCCCCTGCCTCTTGACACTCGAGCTAGTACATAGTGGGCGTGGCTTTTCTGGTTGTGCGGCGTGCAGCGTGCTCAAGCCGTTTCAACTTGTCCCCGTCCTAATGTCCTTCCCTCCCACTTTTCACCATTTTTACCCATGCAACCTGGAAGCTGCAGAAAAACCACTTGCACATGTTGCAGATGCACCGCGACGCAACAGATTGCGGATGGGGATGGCTGCACACTCTCTGCACATCTTTTCCCACTTTGCACATCTGTACCTTATTCGCACTTCGACCTCTCCACCACCTCCATTCATAACCGTAAACACTACTCCCTACACAGCAGTAGTGCACACTATCCCACACACTCACGACACTCTCGAGCTTTGTGAAGACCTGACCTGAACACACACCCACGGAGTACTACTGTCTTCCACGCACAACACAATTACACTTTAAGTTCCTGCTAGCGTGACGTCCCTCTTCCTCTGTTCCACACCCACTCTTCTCCTTCTCTGTCTTGGACTTGTCGCCATCCACTTCGTCCCACGGCGTGGCCCTTGTCCATTTCTGGTTCCTTCACCCCTACTTCATACTGCCCTATTCCTAATTTTGCTTCTTGTCCGGCAGTCGGACATAGCTTCCCTCGTGTTTCGCCCAGTTCGTAGGACTCTGACTGGGTCTCAAGTTGCAATTTCGGTCCTAACCTGCTCTGGAGAAGCTTCAAGGAAGCACGTTGGAAGCAACACACTCAATCACTCATCGTCTCTTCGAGCCTTCGAGGTGCTTGCATCTGCATCACGGACGGTCACTCCTCGACTCGACACCTCGCCGCCGCCATGTCCACTCCTGTCTGTTTCCTACCTTACCCGTTGTCCCCGTTGCGGCTTGCCTTCCTTGCCCCCCGTCCTGCAGTAGACGACTCCAGCTGCAGACTACGGAGTATGCGTACGGTGGCAGCTGCAGCAGTGCAGACATCAAAACTCCACGTTCCCGGCTAGTACCTTAGACACTCTCGCTCGCACTGCCCAAGAACGTTGCTTCCCATGGGACATCCCCGTTGCCCGACACTCGCACTCTGGTAGTCTATCTGGTGCTATCCGTTTTCTTACCACATTTCCTGCCTTTGATACTGAGAAAGACCATCCGTACCGTCTTCTTTTTCATATTCTTACTTCTTCTTCCTCTCATATCTACCTGAATCTTCGTAACTGAGCTACGTAACGTACCTTGATACAATCGATACTCGCATCCTTCAAACGCCCTCCTTTTGCTGCCTCCATGCTGGTCTAAAGATACCTCAAGGTTTGTCTTCTTCCTCTGATCTTTACTCTTGTCCGTATCGTCCTCGACTCAGCTCCGTCACCTTTCTGTTTCTATTCCTCACCCCCAGTTCGCCCCAACTCGTGCCGTCCCCCCCACACCCCCTGGTCTCTCTTCTCTCTCTGTCTTTTCCCACGTCTGCATCCCCCCCTGTCATACTGGCCCAGGGCCCAGGGCCCATAGCCTCCCGGTCGAGAAAGAGTCAAGGCTCCCTGTTAGAAAACAGACCGACCTGCATATCGAAGCAACCGAAGGGGACCCCCATGTCAAGTTCAAGTCGAGCTTTTTTCTTCCCTCTTCTCCAGTCGGGTTCCTCTCCACTGCATAAGACATATATAGCCTCACTGCTCGACTTCTTCGTCCAAGGTGCCATTGTTTTACTATAGCGTGGGACCTATAGCTTCCCTGTCCTTGGCTATAGCTGTGCCAGATCTACTCCTGACCTGTACCAGCTGTCATCTATCCCTCACCCTCAGAACCCTGTCCCTTTTCTCTCAATGGCTCACATCGCAAGCTGTATGCTCGATGAAGGCGAGTCCGCCAACCCGCCGTATATAGCGAAGCCGCCCTCCCCACTACCCCCAATGGATTCGGTATGGACATCGCTCTTTTATTCCAACTACCTACACGTCCTCTATACCTATGAGTTATTCTTTAGCTGACCACGTCTTGGGATTCTCTCAGACATCACAAGCACCACCATTGTCATCATCATCAGATCACAAGCCCTTCGTGTGGAGGATGCACCACCCAGACACCCGGAAGTACCAGCTCTTCCCAAAGGATCGCCAGCAACGGCCACCAAACAAGAGCCTCGACCCCGAGCAAGCCTTCGCCCTCGCCATGGGACAGAACGACAAGACCGAGAAGCCCTGCACCAGCAGCGGTTCACTCCGCCTGCGCATCAAGGAACACAACCTCATTAGACGGCGTAAAGTCAGCATCCCCGAATTGGGCCCCATGACGACTGTCCAAGAGGTTCCCATGGATTCACGTAAGTATCTGCCCTTCAGCTTTACCAAGCAATACATAGCTGACAAGCTATAGCCACTATTCCGGGACGTCCACCGCTCCACGAGAGATCTGTTAGCGCACCAGGACACCACATCAAACAGCACAAATCGAACGGATCCGTCTCATCGATAGCCGCGGCCGACGCCGATAGATCTGGTTGCACCACTCCAGCCCGCTCACCAGACCGACACCAACGATCTACCTCAGAGAGCCAGACTCCCCGCCAACCCGCCTCGCCGAAGCAATTGGCGCCTCTCGTCATTCCTACCCACATTGGCAACGTGCCGCGTCTTGCCAGACAAATCTCCCACAATCGCATGCGATCCGGCAGCACCGGCCAAGACTCTTCTCAGTATTCCGCCCGCGCCGATGATTCACCTAGATCACTTGCCCGAACTCCGTATACGCCTTTGACCGCCTCAACCGCCCTCACGACTCCGTTGTCCGCCTGCCCAACTTTTATGTCCGCCACAACTCCCGTGTCTGCTCCCATTATGGAGGAACGTAGCTCGACGAAGCCCTGGGAGTTGAACTACAGCCAAGACGCAGCCACCCCTGTCCAGCTCAAGAGCGAGAACTCTGCGTCACCTGGTAACGACGGCACACAAAGGCCGTTTGTTCACAGCCACAGGAGAGGTCAGTCTGAGTCTGGTAGTATCATGGACCGGGGACGGCCACGGAAGCGAAGCGAATCACGAAACAACAATGGTCTCATCCCCAAGCGAAGCTGCTCAACAAGAAATAAGAGTGCTGAACGCCGGGCTTTCGAAGAGCTTCCTAGTGGATTCCGAGCCGGCGAGGCACCCAGCCATATCGAGCAAGACGAACTGGCAGCTTTGCAAAAGCAGGCCTTCGGACAGGCTTCCCGATTTGAGGTACTCAGGAAGGAGGATGTTGAGCTCCTTTCAAGGGTAAGGGTCATTCTGTGCCTCATTATCGAACAGCGAAAACTGACAGTATACACAGGAACTTCGTCAGCTCGATGAGCGCACCGAGTATCTGCGCCGCACCTACAACTCTCTGCGAGCTGGTCGGCGCAATCTGCACTCTCGTATCTGCCAGTATCTCCGCTCTCCTCGTACGGCTAGATTTAGCACAGACTCGATGCTTAAGCAAGAGGAAGCTCTCGCTGAGCTCGATACGTCGATCGACGATTGGGTGAACAAGCTGGAACAGGCTGAGAACCGTCGTACACGGGTACGCCAAAAGCTTCTGGAACACGTCGCTGCCGCAGCTACCCTCCCCACTCCCGCCGCGACGGCCGCGAGCGAGTCATTGCAGCTCGCCATGGGCATCCGCCCGCCTCCACCAGTGGGTGTTGGAAACATCTCCACTCCTCCTCGAAGCCCCACCAAGAACTCCTTCTCTTCGCACACTGCTAGCAGCTCCCCTTCACCACAACGGGTCGTTGCCCAGGTCCCCAGCACCATCGTCGAGCAACCCGTGATCGAGGAGTGCCCCGTTGCCTCGGTCGACAAGCATGTCTCTTCCTTCAGTCACCGCCGCACCGGCATGGAAAGCATCCGCATCTATGCCGACAGCGACGTGTACGCTCTTCTGGCCGACGTGGAGAATGAGATCACCAAGATGAGCGCTGCCGCAAACCAGACTGAGGCCACTGCGGCCCTGTCGGATGACGAACAGAAGGAGATCCATCGGGCACGCAGCCATGAGGCTCTCAGTGGGCTCGCAAATGAGAAGCCCACCGACGCCAAGGACACCAAGGACACCATCCCGTCTCCTCGCGCGCCTTCCCCTCCAGCCAAGGATAGCCCGGCCGACGACGGAGCCATCTTCCTCACTAGTGCCGTTTTCCGAGGCTAGGAGCCAGCCAGCCTCAGCTCTACCCCATCTTGCTTGTCCAATACGGCAACAGCAACTATACTGCATTCCATTTCATCTCAATCTTGTTCTGTTTCGAAACCGTTATTCATTTAACGCTTACGCTCCCTACGTCTCAAACGACTTCACGGCTGACCCATTACCTTCCTTTCCCGAGAAGTGCTTTTATTTCTTGCTACATTATCATCACCAACTTGATACCCGTCCGCGACGCTCCTTTTCTTCTGTTCTATTACTAGTTGTTTCATTTATTGGCCGGCGCCACATTACCACCTTCCCTTCATCACATTGTCGTTTCCCTATACCGAAATTATATATTGCATGGTCATCTATTGGGTGTTGGCGGTGCGATCCTTTTCTTGTGGGAAAATGTCTTGGCCCCGGCGTGGACAGACAGCCATTTCTTTTCATGTTACAATACCGGTTGTGTGCAACCTTGTAAGCTAGATCATCACGGTCAGTGGTCGCAGTGTGCCATCTGTACCGCAAAGTCCCTTCCCACGGGAAGAAGCGACAATCAAAAGAAACAAATTTCCAAAACCCACAGTCACCAATTCTGCAATACATTAAACGTGATTCCGTGATGAGCCTCATCACAACAACACTCTAACAGGGTTTCCGGGTCCCTGCCTCGGCCTGTCTCACTTTTTCTTTTTCCGTTCAAAGGGTGTTCTTCAACAACGCTGAAGCTCTCCAGTGTATCCACATGAGGATCTCCAGGGACCGCCACCCCCCAAAAAGCAAAGCCCCATGGAAACTCTAGCACACTAAACTTTATGACTTACATGATGAGGCGTACCTTATCTTGACTGAACTCCACCGACGACACTTCAGGCGGGTCGAAGGAAAGAGATGATTTGCGAAATGGAACAGTCACCGGAAAGTAGAGTTTGAACAACTTTGGAGACTGTCAATTACGTAGAGTTGACGTCGCTCCGATGAACGGATGATAGACTATCGGGTGATTTACGACTGCAGAGTTTGCGCGTCGTACCGTTTGATTACCGTTCTATTCTACAGGCCGTGTGTATTACTATGTGGGCGGGTGGTATGTGTGTGTGTGTTGCGACGTCGTGCCTTTGAGTCAAATACTACAGCTTTTTGTCTGATTTAGTTCCATCTTGAGTTTTTCTAATGAGATATAGATAGAAAAAAAGGTCAAGACACAGGACACATTTTGGAGTCTAGCGGGCAGTGGTGATCTGTCATTGACTACGGCCGACGGAAAAGACGCTACCGCAATTGCGCGATAGCGTAGGTACGTGAATGAAGCCGCCGCCGCTGCCGGTGCCGCAAGGGTGCCAAGCTCATTTGACGTGATTTAGTCGCATCCTAATCTTTTATTAGTTGATCCCAAAGTCTTGCTATCAAAAGACCAAGCAGCGTTTAAGCAACGCCAAGCGGGGAACATGATTTAGCGTTTTTCCCAGATCAGATCATGTTTCGATGCCAAGGACGTTCGGCGTGACCGATTTCCCTCCTAGGGTGTCGCGTTGCATAGATGAAATGCAGCGTGACAGCCAAGTTCGTGCATCCGTATCTGAATATCCTGCGTATAAAACACACTAGAAATGGTGATGTTCACGGCGACGGTAGAGTTGCAGGAGCGCAACGACGATCGGTGCGGGTTTGTGGGGCTGGTGCGACTTTGTCATGAGTCGTTTCCGGCGCCACGATACAGACGGGCTGAGTGATCCTAACTTGAATCCAGAGCCATGAGGACGCTGAAGGTTCAGAGGCGGCGGGAACGGGATGGTGCGCGCGCGCGCGCCCACGCGTGTAACCGTTTCTTTGGTTTAGCACGTTCCGTAGCAAAGTTGCTAACTTGGCTTGGTTGCGCTGCACTCGTTGTGGGGAGAGACCTCCCTCCCACCAGGGGCGTCACTATAAGGAGAGAGTTAGGTTGCGGCTGCCCGCTACGCTTTGCCAAGCAGCGGGTATATCAGCTAGGTTTTCGGTTCATGGCAATCTCGTCATTTGATGTTTGCGATGTTGCGCTGGTGGGTAGTGCGCCCCCAGTGCACTTCAGGTTAAGTCTTGTCTGTTAGAGCAACCTTGCGGCTACTACAGTGCCTGTCGATCCTTCAGCAGGCACCGTTCAGTCGTACGGATAAGGTGCTAGTTTCCGACCGCTGTATGGAGGCGAACGCTTCGTAAGGGGTGATCTGGTTTGGTTGGTGCCATGCCCTGGAGTGAGGGCGAGGTTCATGACGGTTCGGGGCAGCCATCTAGTTGCTTCACATAATGTGACATGACGGCACAAAGCTTATTGCTGCAATGCGCGGGATACAAAAGTCTCCGTACATAATCCGGGGGTGGCGATTCGAAATGCGCCGCGTGCAAAACGGGAGAGACGCCCGCTCGCAGCCCGCCTTCGGGGAGGCGCACACGCCGTTTGAGAACCGTTTACTTTTTATCAGTGCCAGTAGCCAAAGAAACGGCTAGGTCATATTCCAGTTGGATCCCCGTTTGGTGGCTTGCTCCCGGGATTTTCTTCGCGAGAAAAAAAAGAAAAGAAAGTGGCCAACGGCGTCGCGCCCGGATCCGGCACGGATGAACCGGAGGGATTTGATGTCTGTCAGAGAGACCTGGAGGCTGGAGGGGGGAAACTTCGAACGCACCCATGTCGATTCGCTAGTGACAGGCTGACAGGCTGAAGGAATGTTCTAGTCAGGGGGGCAGAGCGTCCGTACCTCGTGACGTGCTAGACCAAGTACACGACGATCACCATTCGGTTCTAGTTCGTTGCCCGTAGTGAGGGAAGAAACTCGCCTAAAGGCTAGGCAGAAACGGCGAAACGCTAGCGTTGGAAACACCAACGTCCTCTTTTCTTCTTTTCGCGTTTCTCGTTTGCCGCATTTATCTTGAAGGTGGGCGGCCAACGCGAACGGGTCGCGCTTTGGCAGACAGGAAGCGGAGCTGTGCAGCGTGTGGCTGACTTGGCCTTCCCAGGATCCCGATCCCTTCAAGGGATTGTGTTTAAAGCAGCTGCCAGTCACAGACAGATGGCCGGAGTATCCGCCACCCGCACGAGGTGGCAGAGATGATGGAGAGCTGTTGCGGTCGAGGCGGGGTGTCGATTCCGATTGTGGCTTTCCATGGTGAGGTCCTTCGGTGTTAGTGTTACGGATAGTGTTGGTCAAGTTGGCGGGCATGTGGGGGGAAAGCAGAATCTCGACAAGCTTGTTCTGGAACACTGGGGCCGTTTCTTGATGAACCGGGCCTAGAGTTGCCCGGGTCCGAGTTGATGAAGCGCAGCCCGCCTGTCTGTGACTCTATGCCTTTGTGACTCCGTCACCTCCCGGACGTTCCATCCGGTGCGCCGGCTTGAGTTGAGGGAGGGATCTCAAGCCTCTGAGACGGGGCGACACGACGTAAGAAGGGGTTCTAGAAGGGTTTTTTTGGCACAAGGTTAGTGGGGAAGGGGCTTTTTGCAGTCTTTCGTGCATTCGCGTAGATATATCTTGTTCCAGACGAGTGGAGGATGATGACAAAATTCTCCTCCTTCAGAACCACCCAAGGCTGACACTCGGTTGGTTGTTTTGTAGATCCATAGTGGTTTGAGCCCTTGGCTCTTTGGGGGCTGGCTGTCGGGCTAGGGATCAAGGCAGAGCCTTGTTGCCCGCGCCTTCGTGTACCGGGGGATGTCGCCGAATATGCAGGTTCAAGCATCGGATATGGGGGGGGGGGCTGCAAAAAGACTTGTCTCGAAGGTTATCTTCGGAGTTTTGTTTCGAGACCCGGGGAAAGGGGATGTGCTCCATCTCAAGGGTTCGTTAGTTGTCGCAGATATAAAGGGCTTCTTTCGCAGGGCAAGCTCCCTCCGACCTGCCTAACTTGGGAATAACGTCGTATGCCCGTAGCTCCTACTGGTTCAACAACTTGTGCTGATTTGTGCATAGTGCAGATAGTTGGCTATTTCAATGAGATCATGTTTCCGTAGAGAATCGTTGATGGTCGAACTAGGCCGATACGCCGAGGATGATTCAAGAGTGACATACCAAGGTGTCACGCCATGTGATATGCCACTGCAATTGGACTCGCTCTGTTCAACGGAGTAAAACAAGGCACGACTAGGTGATCAAGACTTCGGGGCCCGATTGATTCTCCCAACGTTGGGTGGCTCTCTGCTTCCTCTGTGGCGAAAAGAGCCTACTTCGGCCTGCAGCAATAATGGTGGTTGGAAAGACGAGGCGACGTCTTTCTGCAACATTGCAATTCACACGAAGAACCAGGTGTGGTTGGCGCAATGGGCGATGTAAATTGTAGAGGGCCAGCAAAAGAGTTTCAATGCTGTCGCAATGGTTCTCTTGGTAGACACCCGATTTGATGTTGGTTGGATCTTGTAAGTTGATTGGACGAACACTTGTTCGCATTCAGCCTTGGTCGAGTGACCCTTGGGACCGAAGGAAGGCTATCGTTGAGTGACTTATGCTGGCGTGTAAAAGCGGTTAAGGCGATCTTAAGATCATCGAAACGACCCCGCACATGAGATGTGCGATCCTGCCGGAACCCGCCCGCTATTCTGCGCGTTGAAGAATTCTAGTTCGTAATCAACACGATCCCGCCGTCGTAACCGCATTCTGTTTGTTGACTTGACAGGGATTGGCCAGGTGATGGTACCGCAGATTGGGATGAACTTCTGCCAGGCAAAGACGGTACTGCAAGTATGCAGATACGCAGATGCTGGGAGCTGAGCATAGAAGACTTCAAGGCGGCAGAAAGGGTTGGCCAATAGGTCGAGTCGAGAATGACTCCTCCCCAGCAACACATTGCTGGCGCCGATGAGGAGGCATGCTAAGACGATATCCGCTTGCAGATGTAGAGAGAGAAATTGCCCGAGGCACTTGCGTTCTTGAGTTCATTGATTGTTTCAGTGGTTGAGCATTGCTGTAACTTTAAACACTTGTCAAAGTAGACAAGGCGGGGGAAGTGGATCTGTGGGCTCATGAAGGTGCATACTGCAGTAATCTCGGATCGAT